CGTGGGTTAAGTGTCTTAAGCTGGAGCTGGCCACTCCCACCCATCCCCCCACTCAGGCTGCTATAAGCTGAGAAGCTCAGATAACCTGGAGGTGCTCAGAGTAGAACCACTGCACCTCCATCAGCAGCTCTTTTGCAAGTGAGAGGTGGTCCTTTTCTAATTTCCACGTTTGTGACATCACAAACAGAGACTTTTTGAAACATCTCATTTTAGGCACATAATTCCTAAAACCCAACACTGACAAACAAATAGATGAACAGATTTTTTTTATATTTGGAGTGTTATAGAGGCAGTGGAGACCCACATGGCAGCAGTAAAGCATGCAATAGGAGAGTTTTGCATATTATGACCTCTCTAAAGCTGTTTTATTCTCTGTTCTCAGGTGAACAACATCCCGGTTGAAGGGAAGACACATTCGCAGGTGGTTGCTGCCATTAGAGCTGGCAGTGACGAGGTTCGGTTGCTGGTGGTGGATCCCGACACGGATGCCTTCTTCAAGAGATGCAGAGTGACCCCCACCGCCGAGCACCTGACGGGTGAGAGAGCTGCTTCTTCTTGCTGTCACCTGCAATAGAGAGGCTGTAACAGGGTGAATAACTGTAATTATCTCTCAAGATGTCACTTCAGGGTCTTCACCGTTACGCAGATGAGTCTGTCAGGTCCTCTGCTCTTCTTCTTCTATATTTATCTGTCTTTTCTGTCCTGTCTCACTCTCTCCCCCACTTTTGTGTTGCTGCTGAGGATGACAAACACTAAACCACTTCCTGCCCCCTCGCCCTGCTAATGTCGACGCCCTGTGGGGAAAGTTAATCTTTCAGACGTAAATACATCAGATCAGACGGCTCAAACTGCTCTGACTGACTAACTCTTACTGACTTAGACTGGAAGCTCTCTTCTTCTAACAGTCTGATAGTTTTTAAAACAAGGATTATATCTGATGGCCTTCATCAGCTCAAAAATGTGATTAAATGAATAATTCAGTCTTCTGAAGGACACGGGAGACTTTGTTTCATTGTTTTCATGTCAAACAACTTTTTTCAAAGTCAGGATCCAACCTTCAAACCCACTCAAGTGATGTATGAGAGATAAATTATTGTTTTTCTTTCTTATCTCAAGAGAAAGGTTGGAGGTTTCAAGTTTAATCCCTAACACCACCACTAGAGGGAGCTGATGTGTGCAGGGCCAATCACTCGAAAGCACAGAACCTCCTCAGACAGTCTGAGATTAGTGCCACTCTGCCTCAAGAGACCATTCACGTAAACAGACAAGCTGTCGGCATGGCAACAACCAGCGTGGAAAGGGAGGACGGCTCAGGATACAGAAAGTTGTCATGTTTAAAAATAGCTCCCCCGGGACCCAAGAAATGTTCATGTTGGTGTTTTTATTCAGGTAAAATGGAAGATTTCATGTCTGGAAGATTTGCTTTTACAAAAAAAATGTGGTTGATAATAAAAGGGTAATAAATTTACTAATAGTTTCATTTTTGACATTTTAGTCCAAAAAGGCAAAAATATTTGTTTTTAGAATTTTTTAGATTTTAGCTCCACACATAATCTGAATCTTATCAGAAGGTTTTAAACTGTTTTCTTCACCTATGAATATGTCCTCGCCTACAATAATCCAAATGAAAATGCGGAAGTACCGCACCACACCTTTAGGTGGAGAGAGTGTTCACATTAACAGCATAGCAAAAAGCAGAGGAAGAACATTCTTACCTTGGCTAAAGAGTTTCTCAGAATTTGTATTTTCCTTGGTTTTGAATACAATTTTGTCTCAGATGTCATCCGTTTCACACAGAATCAAATTTAATTAGCTAAAGTCTGCAAAAACAGCTCCAGTTTGTTTGTCTACAGCGCGTAAAGGGAAAGCAGGCGCGGGTGTCTGAAAAACTCAAAAGTGGGACGTGGTACGAATAGAGCTGCAAATACAGCAATCTCTGTTTTTTACCAAATCTGGAATAGCGTAATAGTGGAGTAGTATGTGTGGCACTGATGCCTTACCCCAAAATTCTACTATCTCCGCTCCGCTCCGGCACGAACTCCGCAGCAAAAACGGTCCCGTTGTAGTCAATCAGAGCTGTTCCACTACTGTGGCCGTGTGGCGCAGTGCCCTGCCTGTCGTTCCGCCATACGACAAAAATAGGATCGATTCTATTTTTGCCAGATGCCGGAGCACCTCCGCAGTCAATGGACAGAAATCACAACCGCCCAACAGGAGACGGAGCAAGCACAACTTCCGTTATTTCACAATAAATCGATAAACAAAAAGCGTTTTTTGTTTCATATGCACATGTTTAACAACTTTTAACAACTATCAATGGCGGTTGAACTTTAAATGCACAAAAGTAAGCCATAAATACAGTTTCCACTATCAAAGTCACACTTTGTTGATCCAAACACTGCTGATCTCTCAACACAAATGATGGGCAGATTAAACAGTTCATTTCCATGCTTCTCCCACACAACGGGTGTTTGGATCTAACTTCCGCATTTATTGCTCGGACTGTATCGCAAGATCTCGAAAGTCCCACGCATGCCTGTTTGCGCACCTCAGGTCTCCGCACCGGTGCGGAGCCGTTGTAGAGCATGTACAGTATAATTTGAGTTCGGAAGCGAGCGGCAGCGGAAAGCGGGGGCGGAGCGGAGCTAGTCGAATTTTGGGGTTACAGCAGGAAGGTTGTAGGTTCAACACTGCTGTTTCTCCCCATGCATTAAAAAATGTCAGCGATGCAAACATACAGCTTGTTATTTTATTAATCCCTAAGCGAGACTAGCTGTAGTAAGTAGATGCTTCTAGCTGTCCCGGTCTGTAAGGATCTGAAGTACCCGCTGACTGAAGACACCTTGTCTTGTGAAGAGAATGTTCCAGGTTGTCCATCAGGCTCTTCAGCGGTGAGCTTGGTGCCTACTGTTTTTAGTCTGCAAGTGCTTGTAGATTTCCACGTAGGTAAAATAACAGTTTATCCTGATCTTTTTGTTATGAGAGACCGCAATTTCGTCTGGTGTGACAGTTAATATTGGAGAGAAAATTTGTAAATAAGATAAAAGATGAATGTGAGTTTTAGGGGATTCTTCAGCCAAGCTCAGAATCTTCTTTTTCTAGTATTTTAGATAGTTTGAGGCTCTCGCCCCCTAGTGGCACAAAGAGCTTCATGTGGACTTCCCCAAAATTCCACTATCTCCGCTCCGGGACGAACTCCGCAGCAAAAACGGTCCCGTTGTAGTCAATCAGAGCTGTTCCACTACTGCGTCTGTGCGGCGCAATGTGCCGCCCGCCGTTCCGCCATCTGGCAAAAATAGGATCGATTCTATTTTTGCCGGATGCCGGAGCACCTCCGCAGTCAATGGACAGAAATCACAACCGCCCAACAGGAAAGGGAGCAAGCACAACTTCCGTTATTTCACAATAAATCGATAAACAAAAAGTGTTTTTTGTTTCATATGCACAGGTTTAACAACTTTTAACAACTATCAATGGCGGCTGAACTTTAAATGCACAAAAATAAGCCATAAATACAGTTTCTACTATCAAAGTAGTCACACTTTGTTGATCCAAACACTGCTGATCTCTCAACACAAATGATGGGCAGATTAAACAGTTCATTTCGATGCTTCTCCCACACAACGGGTGTTTGGATCTAACTTCCGCTTTTATTGCTCGGACTGTATCGCAAGATCTCGAAAATCCCGCGCATGCTTGTTTGCCCACCTCAGGTCTCCGCACCGGTGCGGAGCCGTTGTAGAGCGGGTACAGTATAATTAGAGTTCGGAAGCGAGCGGCAGCGGAAAGTGGAGCGGAGCTAGTGGAATTTTGGGGTTAAATGGAGAAAAAACATCCAGGAGCTTTTTTAAAAGCCTGTGTCTACTCTGTTTTAAGACCAGATTAAATAAAAATGAACTAATTTAGATTAATTTAATTCCATTAGTCCGTAGGTGAGACAATACACCTTTGTGTTCCTATACTTTATCTTGCGGGAGGCAGACTTTAACTCTTTAGTGATCAATAGTGGGTTTTAAAGAACTATTAATCTTAACGACTTTATAAAGTAAAAAGAGTCTGGCTCCCTTGAAACAACGTCTAAAGAAATAAGGGGTGTTTAAACATTTTAGCACGGTATTTCATATTCAGGATCAGAGCTAATAGCACCCTCAGCAGGGTAAGGACTCCAGCGAGGCGTTTCCCAAGTAACTCCACATGCTGGCCGCTCGGAGGCCAGCGGCCTACACTCACACTGGCACACCGATGCAGCTCGACGGGCCAGCTCTTTGTCTGGTTTCCACGGCACCCGCCCTGAGTGGTCCCTCAGCCTGGAGCTGCTGGACATGGAGGGTCGCTTCTCAGGGTCAGGAGAACAAACAGGCTCACATACAAACAGCAAGGGCGTCAAACCTCAGGTCACCTCCGAAGGACGCATTTGTGTTCCCAATAGCACGCCGTCAGGCTAAAAGCACTTTTCAGGGCATGGAAGGTAAGGTCAGAGGGAGTGATGTCATGAAATCAGTGTTTTATGATAAAACCAGAGCGCTTTCGGATGGGAGCCAAGTCTAACTGGTCTGTGAGTGACTGTTTGTGTGATTGTCCACAGGTCCACTGCCAGAGTCCGTCGCTAACGGAGACGTGGATGAGAAGGTAAGATTAGTCTCCGAGCGTCCTGAAGTGGTGTTTGGTTTTAACTGAAGCCAAGTTAGAGATTTGAGCTTTGAAGTGAGTGAAGATGGTGAGTCTCCCACAGAGGTCACTTCCCTACAGAGGTCACTTCCCTCCTCTCAGATCTGAGCTCTCCTTCCCGCAGCGAGGACAATAATAGTTCAGAACGCCTCCTGTAATCACACTACAACCCAAAAGGCCAAGGTCACACCGCCTCCTAAAGAAGCAGCTCTTTTCTTTTTCTTTTTTCTAAACGTGCGCCACATCCGAGAAGAGAGACGGGTTATTCATCAGACACGAGCTGCACAGGCTTTCCTGCTATTGTCTAATCGTTTTGGGGTTCATTGTTCGAACAGAGACTCCACCCAGCAAGAGCCGGACAGACATGAGCTGTATGAGAAACTATCAGTGTCATATTTTATCGTAACTTATCGTAACATCGTATCGTAAAAGATCACACCTTCAATCCAAGATAATCTAATCTGGTTTAATCCAGTCTTTAGATTTTTCTCACATTTAGCATTTAGCAAAAACTCTCTTTGCAATATCAAAACTTCAAGTTGAAACTCAGTCCAGGGGAAAACGAGCACCTTTTAAAAATGAATTTAAACATTTTTAATCCAGACAAATGTCTGAGTGGGCGGATGTGTCGGTAGAAACAGATTAATTTAATGACATTTCAAATCATGAAAAGAGGTTTTTTTGTCAAGCGAATCAAGTTTTTCAAGCGACTGCAAATGTTTAAATCATCGAGCTTTTAGCACCAACTCTGCATTTGTTGTTTAAATTACTTTAACTCGTAATTTGCATCATAAGAGCATTTTGGGTGGATCTGTGAGGGCACAATCTCAGTGTAAATAGTCTCTGCCTGCAGAACTTAAAAAAAACACATCCCCGTGGTTTGAGCAGATATGCAGCATGAAGCCCGACTGGCACATCCTGTTGCTCAGGAACCCAACGTGAGGAGCAGTGGAGCGACTTGTTAGATGGATTGCGACATAACGGGGGCTGAAGAGCTGAGAGGGTGGAGGTGAAGCTCGAGGTCACCTGCTAGGGGAAAAACATGGACTTTTGATGAGATAGAAGAGAAATGTTAACAGGTTTAACCAGTTTATGGTCACTGAGCTGGAGATGTGGATGCTGATAAAGCAGAGTAGCTCAAAGTAAACAAAACACCTGAAATCTAAGACTGCCCCCTTGTGGTGAATTTAGATACTGCAGGAACTCCTACCTCTTTACTACACTGTGTGTGTGTGTGTGTGTGTGTGTGTTCACAGATAAACAGCAGAGAGGCCAAAGCAGACGAGAGAAACTCTAAAGTGTCTGTCAGTCCTTCGCCCTCCAACGCCTCTTCCAACACGTCGCTCACAACCCCGACCACAAGTACCCCACCTGAGGTACGTCGCAGAAAGATGAAGATTAGATTAGAAATTACGAGTGTAACCTTCTCTTTAACGCATATTCCGTTGCTCCTCAGGGTCCGATCACAGAGGCCATCCCAGGTCTGAACCTCACCCTGCAACAGGTCAAAGAGTTGACTCACCAGAAACGCTCCAACAAGAGAGCCCCGCCCATGGACTGGACCAAGAAAAACGAGCTTTTCAGCAACCTATAGGACATCCCGTTTCACCTGGATCACACACACACTTTTATTCCCTTCCAAGAGACGGAGAGAGATTTTTATTATTGTGGCATTACGAGAGAGTTGCAAGAGGAAGGTTAATGCTGTCGTGTAAAGTATACTATTCTTATTGTGTTTATTATAACCAAAATGTTATATTGTTTATGTGCTACTAACCAGATAAGTCCATCAGATCTTTACTTCATGCTGAGTGTGTGTGTGTGTGTGTGTGTGTGTGTGTGTGTGTGTGTGTGTGTGTGTGTGTGTGTGTGTGTGTGTGTGTGTGGTGGCTGTAGAAACCTGAAGCAGTTTAATGACTTTCATTTCAAAACAAGTCTACGTGTCTTCAGTCAGAACGACCACAAATAAACAGCCGTACAATCAGCAACATTAATCAAATGTTGGATCTTTTCAAAACAAAATGATTTTTGAAGTATTTTTTATTTCTTCTTTTTTTAAAAATTACTGACGATCGCCTTGTTTGGATACTGACGGCTTTAGACTGGAAATACTTCTAAATTTACATTTCTGCTCTTGTTCTATACATGTAAATACATATGTATATTTTTAGATTTATGACCTAAATTTCAGAATTACGTTTGATACATACTTTAATAAATGTGAACCACTTTGCTTAATGAGTAAATGACATTTATTAGTCTGTACGGTAACTGTTTTGGCTGCTCATGTGAGCATTTTGACTTTGTGTTTTGCATGAACGGGGTTAGGGCGACATTTTTACGCATATGTCTGCGTCTTAGATCATGTCCCTCACGGTGAAGGTGATTTAAACTGAATACGTGAAGGCATCAGAGGAAGGGGTTTGTTATTGCAAGCAATATGCTTTTACCTGCCTGTAACGACATTATTGCTGTCATATCTGAGAAAAAATAAAGATGTTTCTGAGGCTGAGGTAGTGTTTGCTTGTGATTTCTTAAAATATATTAAAACGTCGCCATAATTTATGTAAATCCAACTTCTAAGGATTTTTAAAAATTAATTCAGTTATTAATATCAAATAAATAGATTTAGAAACAACATTTTACCAGCATGAGTTTCTAGTCAGACATAAAACCCTTACCCAACTACATCTAATAAACGCGCAGAGACATTCATTCAGACAGAAATTATTTTTAAAAGAAACACATTTGTGTTCTGAACAGGAAAAGCATTGATGTATTTACATTTCACAACACATGTATAAACTATAAATAAATATAATGCAGTCAAAGTAACAGAATAGCAGCACTTTTTGTGTGTTTACTGTTCTTTGTCTTGTAGTGATGATTTGTGACATAATTGACACAACATATTAATTCTGACCAAAGAAATGTGATGATTCCATACAAATATGAAATATCAACCTGATTTATCTTTGAATGTTTAATCAGAATATTCTAGAGCTCTTTGCTTCTTTAGGGACCATAAACACACTTCGTATTAATTCAGACGGAGTCAAATATATAGTTTATAAAATGAATTTACTTCTTTTCCTTAAACTAATAATTATACATGACAAGATATGAATAATGAGATGTGGTGGATTCTATTCAATTAAATTCAAGTTTATTTATATAGCGCCAAATCACGACGAGTCGTCTCAAGGCACTTTGCACTACTACTACCGTTGGGGAATCTTCTTCGGCGGTTCGGCATGCGTTTTCATTTTTATGCTGACGACTGTCAGATCTACCTCCCCCTTCAGCGGGGGGTCGATGGGTCAATCTCAAAGCTTGTAGATGCCTTAGAGGATGTGCGCTCCTGGTTGGCTACAAACTTTTTACATCTGAATGACGCTAATTGAAGTAATTTATAAATAAATGAAATGAAATGATATGGAGTGATTTAATGTGATGGAAGCTAGATGTTTTAGCAAAACCATTCTTTGTATCTGAGAGTTTGTGAAGTCTGGGTTGTAAAATAATTTGTTGTTTGGTTATAAATTAGAGAGTTGTTTGTTTACAAAAGTCATCAGACACCAGTATGCAGGTCTACGATACTCTTGGTATTAGTTGCTCCCGGCGGTCGGGAGGGTTGCGGTCAGAGTGGTGAGGTCACCGGACGTCGAAACCACAATACTCAGATTAGTAGCTTCCTCTGAGTCCATCTTCACCGGCCATGAGATGCAACCCGGGGTCTGCTGGTTAGATGTCTGAGAATGAGTATGTGAGAATGCTGTTTGTAGATTACAGCTCAGCATTCAACACCATCGTTCCCTTTAAGCTGGACAGGAAACTGCAGGATCTAGGACTGAGCAGGTCCCTCTGCAGCTGGATCCTTAACTTTCTGTCTGACAGACGCCAGGTGGTCAGACTGGGCAGCACCACCTCATCCCCCGTCACACTGAACACTGGTGCTCCACAGGGGGTGTGCGCTGAGCCCTCTCCTGTACTCACTCTACACCCACGACTGCACGGCCACTAGAAACTCCAACATCATTGTGAAGTATGCGGACGACACCACAGTGGTGGGTCTCATCACCAACGACGATGAGAAGGCCTACAGGGAGGAGATCAGCGCCCTGACCCACTGGTGTCAGGACAACCGTCTCACCCTCAACGTCACAGAGACAAAGGAGATGATAATGGACTTCCAGAGGTGCAGAGGAATACGCACCCCCATCACCATCAACAGCGACGCTGTGGAGAGGGTGAGCAGCTTCCGTTTCCTTGGAGTTCATCTGGCTGAGGATCTTACGTGATCAGTGCACACGAACAATACAGTGAAGAAGGCACAGCAGCACCTCTTCTTTCTCAGGAGACTGAAAAGATTTGGCATGAGCCGCCGCATCCTCAGGACCTTCTATCGCTGTGCCATTGAGAGTATCCTCACTGGATGCATCTCCGCCTGGTATGGCAACAGCACCGCTTACAACCGCAAAGCTCTCCAGAGAGTAGTGCGGTGTGCAGAAAGGATTATTGGAGGTGAGCGTCCCTCCCTCCAGGACATCTACAGGAAGCGGTGCCTGAGGAAAGCGGGGAGGATCATCAAGGACTCAACTCACCCCAGCCATAAACTGTTCAGACTACTTCCATCAGGAAGGAGGTTCTGCAGCATCCGGTCCAGAACCAGCAGACTGAGAGACAGCTTTTTCCATCAGGCCATCAGACTGCTGAACACTTCAGACACCTCACCCTCACTACTGAAACTCCAACATTACACACTCCATACTGTACATTAATGCCACTGTTTTGCACATACCAGCCTCTGTATATTTTATATCTCTTATCTTATTGTTTACTTTATTCATTTGTTAAATATGTATGTACGCATTATACACACACTCACATGCACACACGTAGAAAAATAAAAAATAAAATGCTTAGCACACACATTTAGGAATGTATATACCTTAAATACTATATATATTATTACTTAGATCAGCCTTTTTTTAAATTTTGCTTGTTTTTACGTTATTGTATTTTGTATTTTGCACAACTGTTGCTGTGAAGCTCGCACACAAGAATTTCACTCACATGTACTGTACCAGTGTACCTGCACATGTGACGTGACAATAAAAGCGATTTGATTTGATTTGAGGTGTGAAGGAGCTCTTAAAAGAGCTGTTTGGGCTCTATCAGCTGCAGCGTTGCAGAGGCTTTTGACTGAAGGTCAAAGGAGATGGTTTCAAAAGAAGCTTCTTTCCCGATTTGGCCGAATCAGGAGTCAAAAACTGAATTAATCGGGAAGTAATTCTTGTTTTAATAAACTCATTGCTTTTAATTCTGATGACTTCTGGCAAATCAGGATGTGCCATGTCTTGAGGGCTTGTTCAGGTCCAAAGATGTTTTAACACTCTGTGAATGAGAATGTTTCAAACTCTCATGTGAGGTGAGTATTAGCATTAAAACCGGTTCCGGTTGAGTGAACGCTGGCGCGTCTCGCTGCCGCTGCTCGCTGGCAAACAAACTTTTTGTATTTTTTTTTCTTCTTTTTCACCCTGGTCACATCCCTGTGTCGGTGAAAACTCATTTTCACCTACCTGCTCAGCTTGCGTTCTGGTTGCACATCACCACCTCCCTGCTCCACTCCATAATGTGGTCCAGCAGGATTTCTGTGTGCCTCGCACTGGCCTGGATCATCCTGTCGCTCATTCTTCTGTCCGTGGATGGCCTTCTCCAGTACTCGGCGGCGGAGCTCTTCAACCTCCGCTTTCGCTACTCCGGATCTCCACCACCAGCTCTGTGCCTCTTCCCCGACATCACCTTCCAGCCTCGCCGTCGGTATATCCATCGGGGGTCCCGGCGGAACCTCCATCTCGACGGCTCCAAAGGATTACCCTCCTTCTGGTCCACGACTAGCCGGCGGCTACCCAGGAATACCTGCCGAGCTGCCGACTCCAGCGTGTTAGCCCGGCTGGCTAGTCGGACTAATGCTCCTGTCGCCAGGGACTTCCGCACTGCTAATTTTGGTCTTCTCAACATTCGCTCCCTCTCTGGTAAAGGACATCTCCTCCAAGATACCATCAGTGACCATAAGCTAGACTTTCTTTGTCTGAACGAAACATGGCAACAACCCAGCGATTTCTCACAACTCAATGACTGTACTCCTCCCGGATTTGTTTACCTCTCCAAACCCCGTGGGTCGGGCCGCGGCGGTGGTCTCGCGATACTGTATCGCGAGACTTGGAAGGTCCTTCCCGTAAACCTTCCTCCTCTCACCACTCTGGAATGCCTCGCCTGTCAACTCTCCGGCCCGACCCCCACAATAATTGTCACTGTTTATCGTCCCCCCAAGTTCAGCCCTGAGTTTTTAAATGAACTCTCTGCTCTTTTATCCCATCTGTCCGCCCTTTCCCCAAATGTAATCTTACTTGGTGATTTTAATATTCATATGGACAATATGGCCCTCCCCCTCAGCAAAGACTTCTCCTCATCTTTGGACAGCCTCAGTTTTCATCAATATGCCAATTTTCCCACTCACATTAAAGGTCACACCCTGGATTTAATCTGCTGCTCCGGCCTGACCCCCTCCAACTGTACAGCTGACCCGCTCCCTTTCACGGACCACTTCCTCATCTCCTTTTCTGTTCCCCTCCGTCTCTCCATCATCAAGTCACCACGTATCATTTCTTTTCGTAATATTAAGGACATTGATCTAGCCTCCCTGTCCTCCAGTTTTGCCACCTTGACCCCTAATTTGTCCTCTACTCCCGATGATCTTGTCATTCAGTACAATAACGGTCTGGTTTCTATCCTTAATTCATTTGCTCCCATCAAATCCCGCTCTGTATATTTTACTCGGTCTGCTCCATGGTTCACCCCTGCCCTTCGCTCCTTGAAAGCTACCAACCGGAGGCTTGAAAGACTCTACAAGAAAACCGGTCTCACCATCCATAAAGACTTATATTCTGCTCAGATTTCTCTCTACAAGGACTCCATCTCCCATGCCAAATCACAGTATTACTCCGGTCTCATCTCGTCCAACTCCAGCAACACTAAAACATTATTTTCCATCATTAACAGCATTTTTCAGCCTCCCGACTCCTTACCCATCCATCTTTACTCTTCAGAAACCTGTAACTCTCTCCTTCAGTTTTTTAATGAGAAGGTCAATAGAATCCATCTCTCTTTACCTCTTTCCTCCCCTCCCTCTCCTGATTTATTTGAACCCACCATTCCGTTCTCCTCCTTTGAACTTCCCCATCCCTCAGAAATATTAGATTACATCACCAAATCCAAACCTTCCACCTGTCAACTGGACCCTATTCCAACTGTTTTAGTTAAATCCTGCCTTTCTTCTCTGCTCCCTTTTATAACAGCCATTATTCATTCCTCACTATCCTCTGGTACGGTCCCATCCCTATTCAAATCCGCTTCAGTCAGCCCTATTCTAAAAAAACCTGGTTTAGATCCCAATGATTTCAATAACCTCCGTCCCATTTCCCATCTTCCCTTCATTTCCAAAGTCCT